GCACCAGACTAGCCGCCCACCTCCGCGAGAAGCTCCTCCCAGAAGGCCTGCTCATCCAGTTCGTCGTCCGTGACAGAAATGATCACCTCGGATGCAAAGACGCGAAGGCACTGACGAAACCAAAAGCACGCGCGCAGCACAAGACCAAGGAGCGGGGTCATCGGACGATCCGGACGCAAGCTCCTCACGCAAAAGCAGCAGCGAAGCCCAAACCCCGGGACCAAGGAACACCACCCCCCCCCCCCAAAGCTAAGCCCAGCACCACGGGCGGGAGGGGCTCGGGAGCGAAGACGTCCAACTGGACCTGATCCAAAGACGCAGCCACAGCCACAGAAGCAAAAACATCCCAAACACTTAGTCCAAGAAACCGTGAGGAGGTGATCGAGTTGTGTTGCCTCACAAAGAAAGACAGCTGCACAACAGACTTCCAACCCGGCACGACAAGCCCAAACCACTGAGTCACTGACGTCGTTCTCGGGGAAGGTTGGGCCGTGGGGGTGTAAAAGTGGGAGGGCAAGGGAAGGGGCGACGATGGAGTGGTAGTGAGTGGGGTGAATGGGGGAGTGGGGTGCGGGTGGCTGGTGAGGTGGCGTGGGAGGGGTAAGTGGGGCGGTGATGATCACATCCCCGCAGAAATAGTCCGGGGGGGCGATGACGTTGCCGTTGACCTCGACATCCAAAAAAAAAACGAAACGACGAGGAGACGGACAGAGACAGAAGACAAAGCGAGTCCCCACAACCGAAACAAGAAGAGTCGTCACAACAACAACACAAACCTAGACAAGAGTACGGAAGCGCGGACCAAGGTACAATGAGGGGAGGGGTGGTGGGGGCCACCTCGCCCTCAGGCAAGTCCTCCCAGTCGCCGCCGTCCTCCTTATATCCACCAACAAGCAACACACACACACACACACAAACACGGGAAACAGGAAGCACGCACGAGCAAAACAAGCAGACAAGCCAAGTCACGTAGAGGTTCAACTCCCCCTGCTGGAAGACCTCAGAAACGCAGAAGTCCAGAGCAGACAAAAACGCAGCCAAGAACGCCAGACAAACATCGCGAGCAACAACCGAAAGACAGAACCGGGACGCTCCCGCACCAGCTGGTGGCGTGCAGCACGCCGAGGCCTAAGCTGCAGACCGTGGAAACCCAAGCCTTCACCCGCCAACCCCAAACCCAACAACACGCAAGTAAAACACCCTAGCAAAAGCAAGGCAGAGCAAAGCCAAGCGGCTCCAAGCGGGAGGTCATCCTCGTCGTCGTCCTCCTTAGATCCAGCGACAAGCAACACATACACACATGGGCAAGGAGAAGCACGCACGCTCGAAGCCGGCGCACAAGCCAAGTCACACACAGGGCCAGCTCCCATGCCTCGAAAACCTCAGAAACGCAGAAGTCCAGAGCAAACAAAAACGCAACCAAGAGGCCAGACAAACAGCGCGAGCAACAACTGAAAGACGATGCCGGGACGCTGGAGGTGGGTTCGCCGGCGCCTAAGCTGCAGACCGCGGAAACCCAAGCCTTCACCCGCCAACACCAAACCCAACACAACGCAAGTAAAACAGCCTAGCAAAAGCAAAGCAGGGCAGAGCCGAGCGGCCGGAAGCGGCGGCTCCTCCTGATCCTCTTGGGACGGCGTAACAGGGGCCTAAGCTGCAGACCTAGGAAACCCAAGCCTCCACCCCTCAAGCCTAAACCCGACGAGCCGCAAGTTGGACAGCCTAGCAAAAGCAAAGGGTAAGTCAACGCCAAGTTGCTGGGAAGGGTGCAATCTCCTCAATCAAGGACAAGCAGTGAAAACAAAACACAATGAAAACAGAAAACCAAAAGCCCCAACCCCAAGTAAAGGCCAAGTCGCCATTTCATCCACCTGAGCGGCCACCATGCAAGAACACGAAAGAGGGGCAACGACCCCCTAAGCAACGTCAAGGCGCTCCCGTGCGGTCCGCGGGAGTGGCGCCGATCTTCTGCACCTAAGCTGGAAAGCTCTAAAACCGCAGGCCTTAACCCGCAGCCCTGAGACCAAAAGAACAAAAGCGAAGCACCCAAGCCCGAAGAAGAAGAACCGAAGCCAAGCGGCCGAGGACGTGTCCTCAGTCCGAAACAAGCAACTGACAGAAAAGAAAAGAGACAAAAAAACAAAACCACTCCACACCAAGGCTCGGAGCTGCTGCTGGAGCTGCTGCTGGAGCTTTCCGCAGCTCCGACCTGCAGAAACCCCGCAAGAAACCACAGAACCCAAGAAAGTCGAGGGACACAGAGAAACCCATGCACGACGAAAGCCCAAACCACCAAACCAAGCGGCGACGGTCACGAACAGCATCATGATCCAGAATGGCGACATGGTCCTGCAGAAAGAGAAGGGAAAATCACTCGCGCGAAATGGAGCTAGAGCCAAATAAGCTGCCAAACCAGCCTCCTAAACCAAGCGGCAGACTCGAAAAAAAGGCCGGATTGCCGTAAGCCGAAAGCGCTCCGAGGAGTCATAGCTTCGGAGCACCAGTCGGTCATAAATCAAGTTGAGAAGATCAGAAACGAGCGCAACCCATACCAAGGCCCCAGCCAGCGTCTTTCTCCGCGTCCTTGCCGCACACTGCCCACGTCCAGCCTGGGCCGACGAAAGCTAGGGGAGGGAAGCAGGGAGAGGGAGGGGGAGGATCAAGGTTTGCCAGGGCGTTTCCGGTGCCGTTGCCGTTGTGGTGCGGGATGGGTGGGTCGATTGGGAGGATTGGGTTCAAGTACATGGGTGGGGAGTGCATGGCTGGCGTGGGCAGGCTCAGGACGTCCCCGGTTTTGGCGCCGCGGGGCGGTGTTGGCGCCCCTGCCGGGCATATGATCTGTGGCACCGCTGGCACTGCCGCGTCCGGGATGAAGATCTTTGGCTCCGCGACCTGAGTCTCGGCTATATGACGAGGTGCAGATGCAAAGGTTCACTGACGAGTTGCTCGTTGCTTTTTTGTAGGGCTGCCGTCGCTCGCATCGTCCTTGGTTTGATGAATCGGAGCTAGGAATTGTGCGCTTTGAACCGGCAGCCAAGTGACCCCTGCCGACTGGATGATGGGCTGGGAGCGAGCTGCCAAGAAGTCCATAGTGCTCGGGGCCTTGGTGCTAGGGAGCAAGGAAGACGCAGCACTTAAAGCGTTGACGGTTGCAAGCCGAGTGGCGGCCATCTTCGCGATGTCGAAGCGGAAGGCGGGTGGAATACAGAACAGCTTGAATCAGAATGCTACATGTAGGGCGGTACGGTTTAGGGTTTAGGGTTTAGGGTTTAGGGTTTAGGGCTTAGGGTGTTGGGTTTAGGGTTTAGGGTTTAGGGTTTAGGGTTTAGGGTTCAGGGAGCCTGCTTCCCTGGGCACTGTTCACTGAAGAGAACCCTGAAAGAATCCGGTTTTAGCACCCTGCGGCCCTACAACGCCCCCTGATCCTCTAAGTGGACCCCAAAACCCGATGCCTACGACTTCTAGAAACCCTTATAAAGCCATCTAGACACCCTTAAAGTCCTTGCTAACACCTAAAGAACCCAATATCCTCTGAGTACCATAAGAGCCGTTGTCATCAGAATGGGGTTTTGGGGGTGTATCCGACTATAGCTTTAATCAGAAGGACAGTGCTGCTGATTCTTGAAGCTTCTACCTTCGAAATTCTAAAGCCTCAAAGTAGATCCCTTACACTCTACCCTCTACACCCTAAACCCTAAACCCAAAACCCCAAACCCTAAACCCAAAACCCTAAACCCAAACCCTCTAAACCCTAAACCCGAAACTCTAAGCACTATAAACCCTAAACTCTAAACTCTAAGCCCTCTAAACCCTAGACCCTAAACTCTAAGCCCTCTAAACCCTAAACGCTAAACTCTAAGCCCTATAAGGCCTAAACTCACCGTTCACCTTTTCAGCCCGGGGTTCCGGGACCTTCGGCAGGTTTCGAGGCTTAATCGGGGTTCGGGATTTTGTTTAGGGTTTAGGGTTTAGGGTTTTAGGGTTTTAGGGTTTTAGGGTTTAGGGTTTAGGGCTTTAGGGTTTAGGGGGTTTAGGGTTTTTCGTCTGGTTTGGTAATAGGGTTGTATAACAAGGCCTTCAGATAGGGGGTTATAGGGTTTCTTTGTTAAATCGCATGCTGGCCTCTTTCTGTTCCTGAAACAAA